GCCCCCTTTCAGCTCCTCATTTTGCAGAGAAGTCTACAGTTCCCATACTTCCCCTGCTTGAGCACAGTGAAGGGCATGAAAGGAACTCTGTCTTACAGGAGCAAGCCATACCTGACCCTCACGCCCCCACGCCCAGGATCCGTGCCTCCCCGTGAGTTCCTGGAAGAAGTCCCCGAGAGTCGACAGCGCCCCTGGGCCGCTGCTAACAAGGACCCAACTAACAAAGACCCAACTAACAAGGTCCCAGGTAGGGGCTGCCCTGGCGCCTCTGCTCTCCGGCTCCTGCCACATCTGGGCCCACCAGTGACCATCAGCCGTAGCCCGAGAGTGACTCGGGAGACCTGAGAGGGGTGGGGGATTGTTCATCCTATCCCCTTTTGGGCTCTGAAATACACCACACACCTGAGCCTTGTGATTATTGCCTTGTTTGCAATGTGAAGCGCAGGCTCTAGAAGATGCTCGAGTGTTGAGCTATGTGCCCAGGAGTGGGGGCTGCAGGGAGTCACCCCCTCTGTCACCAGTGCTGAGGCTCTTGGGAACCAGCTCCTGTCCCTGCTCTGGAAGAAGGGATAGGAGGGATTTCCGGGCTCTGAGACCCTGGGCCCACGGGTACCTATTTATATTCTTAGCACAGGGCGCTGTGGGTGTGCAAGGAGGGGTAGCTCTGCTCGGCAGCAATTTCTGCCCTTTGTAAATTATTTAAAAAATCTGCTTTGTCATTAGAAAGAAACCAGTGTGTAACTTTCCTAGATAACATTACTTTCTCTATTATAATAAAGTCTCTTTCTGTATTTGACATCTCTTCTCTGTCACTGCCATCCCTCATGCCATTCTGGGCCATAGGTCTGTGGTTTGGGGCTAGGCTTTATTGCCCTAGTTCATCCCCACTCCAAGACAGCCTGCCCCCAGCTCAGGGAGAACAGAAGTAATGGGAAAGTTTTCTCAGCTTTGTTCAGAGCAAAGCACATTTTAAAGGCAAATAAGGTTTTTATTTAAGTGACAATGTTTGAGAGTTAAAAACCAGCTCACATCAAAATCAACACCAGTTGTTAAAAATCTTTTAACTCCATAATGCTGTTTTTGTCTTGTTAGAAATCTGATATTTTACATTTGCTTTCCTAACGGATTTTGTACAAGGCAGCCATGAGTAATATAATAAACCTTTTTCACCACAGAACCATCCACCACAGATAATACTGAGAGTTACACACTTAGGAACAGTCAGATCACAGACAAGATCAGACAGGCTGCCACCACCAAGTAAACAAATAGAAAATGACAGCGGGGTCCGAGGGTGGGGGTCCCCACGAGCAAGCTGCCCTCCTGTCCTGCCCTTCCTTGGTGTCAACTGCCTCTCCTTCTCCCAAGGAGAGTGGGAACCAACTGATATTTATCCCAATCACTCTGTTGTTTCCTCAGCAAAGAGAGCAGGACCCAGACCAAGCCTTGCTGCTCGGACTTAACCCTAACTATGATTTTTAAGAAAGCTCCCCCAAGCCCAGAGGGAGCAGAAGGAGGGAGGTGACTTTTCTTTTGGCTGAGCCAAAGAGAATAGGTTTCCAGAGCACTTGGCACCCAAACCCCCGGGATTCGGTGGAAAAGTTGTTTAAGGCGGGGTCAGCTGCAAGGCTCCTTCACAGTCAGGGCACCCTTCCGGGGTAGGGCCACACCTGCACTGGGTTAGAGAGTGTCCGTGCAAAACCGCACCACCTCTGGACTCTGCCTCAGGTCCAGCTTTCATTTAAAAATTGGTGCCACGTTTTGTCAGCAGGACACTTCTGGGTGTGGGTATGGACTCCAGGGTAGTAAAAGGAGTTTAAAAGCCATGAGACTCAGCCTCCCCTCTTTCAGAGAGCCCGCCTCCCAGTAATCTGGAATACTAGTTTAAACATGTTTGTTTTCTCTGGCCCAGCATCCAGGCAAGAGGGGCATTCATTCAAATCCATGAGAAGTCTTCTTTATTTTCAAAATATTTTGTGGAGCCTAAGGGAGGAGTCAAGCTCTTTAGAAAAAACCCAGGTGCCAGTTGTGGGTGCACCCTGAACTCCCAACAGGGCAAAGAGAGAGGAAGGCGGCAGACAGGCCCTCTGTCAAGACAGCCACCAGACTGGGAAAAACTAACAGGCTATGCAAGAAACGGAGCTTTGGTCAGGCAGGAAAATCTGTTTTCCAGCTCCTGAGGAGCAGGCACACCTGAAGCTAGATGGATTCTCTAGAAAACAGCCAGACTTGGGTCACAGAACTACTCTGGAAGAGGCAGCAGCCCCCACCTCCAGAGAACAACAGGACTTGGTTCTTTGTTTTTTCTCCAACGTAACTGGACAGACACAATTGAACAAACCACTAGTAGAGAAAGTGCATATTAGTTACAAAGTTGCCAGGAAAGCAGTACTGAAACCTTCATTATCTGAGTCTGGTCACCACACAGAACCGCATATACACACAGTCACACACCAACTAAAGCTCCTAGAACGTGTGTTCACAATATCTCACTGTACACCTTCAGCATCTCAGATGTGAGTCATCAGAGCCCCAACCGGGAGCTCCGGAAAGGAAGGAGTGGTAGCCCTCCTGCTGGGTCTCATGTCCCAGCTTGGTCCCCCAGAACCACAGAACCTTGTTCAGATGCCAAATTCCCCAGGGGCCCGGCATGCTTTCTCTCTCCTGCTCCAAGCTTGGGGTTCTCAGAAAGGGTAGAGGGAATCGAACTTGGGGAGAAGTATCTCATGATAATTATTTGAGAGTAATACATCAGTGGCTTCTGCAAAAAGGAGATGGTAGAGAATCAGACTAAGTCTGCCCAAGTTTAATTCAGGGTATATTCTGGGAAGGAAAAGAAGGATTAAGGTGGAGGCGGCCATGCCACATGAGCTGGGGCCTTATGGAGAGCCATGAATGATGACATGTGAAGGGAGGAATGTGAACCACCAGGAGGCAGGACCAGAGAGGAAGCTGAGGGTGATCACTCCTTCCCAACAGACTTGCCTGCAGCTCAGTGCTGCTTAAATGCAGATGTAGGGCTGAAAGTGGAGAAGAGAGCTGACAGGTTGGGTGGATGTGGCAGGAGCTAGCAGAAGACACATTTCTAGTAGAAAGAGCAGGGTGGGGGCTGGGGGCCTGGACCCCTCCGGCCCTAGCAGGGTGCCTGGTTTGCCGGTGGTGCCAGCCGCCCCCACCAGCAGCTGCAGTCGGGGAAGACACTGGCCACATGGGAACTGCAAGAGGTAGACATTGAGCAGAAGCGGCACTGAGCTGACACAGGTGCCTGCTGTGTATACATTTGTCCGGGCCCCGGGGCAGCCCAGGCCCTGACACAGAGCCCTGGCTGAAAGAGCTGGACCAGCCTCAGTGACAGCCTGCCAGGGCTCAGAGGCAAGCCCAGGTAGCCCCACACAGGTGTGGGCCTGGGCCAGAGAGTGGGGGTGAGAGTGCAGGAGACCAACGCCCAGGCCAGGGGCCCCGCAGCACAAGGGCCGGCATGGGCTTTGAGGGGCCCCAGGAGAGCCACACTCTGCCAACCTCAGGGGATGACCCAACAGGAGGTTATGGGCACCAAACCAAGCTGAGTGGCAGGAGGAAGGGGAGAGAATACAACAGTTTGAGCCAAAACTACATGAACCACCCCCCCAGAACTCTGGGATCTCAGCTCTATGCCTTTTCCGGAGCCAGTCTGGGCAGAGCTGGGAAGGAGTAGCCAGATCATTGCCCTCTGGGAGGATGTCTCTCTCCCTGGGACACCGTTTTTGGGCATCAGTGCAAAGCAAATGTCTCCATGGAGCAGGGACCCCTTCCCCCAACCCCAGGGGCTTCCTTTGAAGTAGTGGGGCAAGAGCTGCTCCCAGAGCTCCGCTCCCAGACTGTGGGGCCGATATAGGTCACTGGGCACTCAGAGGGGCTCTTAGACCTGAAAAGCCTCAGAGGGCAGAAGTATGGGACAGCATAGGAGTCAAAAACTCACACCTATCTCAGCTGAGATCCCTCAATTATTTAAGCGAGGCAGGGCCCAGAGAGGGCCAGCTACTGGCTCAAGGGCTCACAGCTAGCCCAGCTAGGCCAGAGCCCAAAGTGGAAGCCTCACAAGGCAGGGCACCAGGCAGGACTCTGGGAAGAGTAACAACTGTCCTCCAGGGCCACGGGAGAATAGTGAAGATACTGAGGACAAGAAGGGGGAACGTGAACAGCTGCAGGAAGACACACCATCAGCACCAGACCCCACCTGCCAAGGGCCATGGACAGACACCTGAACACAGGATGAGCCCCCGGGACATCCTCTCCCAGAAAGTGGCCGCTTTGCCACAGGAGGCCAGGCCCAAGATGGTAACCCAGGATGTCACAGGGAAGGCAGGCACAAATGCCACTAGCCCCTCCACCAGACAGCCAATCAGCTGTACCTGCCAGCGGCTGTCGATCCTTGGTCTGGGGGCTTCTCCCTTTAGGGCCTGTCTAGCATTGCTGTGGAGGCCTCACAAACTCAGAGAGCTGGTCATCTTTGTCAAACACTCCACCTCCAGGCAGGCCTACCCCCAGGATTACACAGACATCAACCCTTACTTGGGCTTGAAGTCGCAGGTACAGGGGTGGCAGCAGCGGCTGCACTAAGACCCGGGATCTCACCCCCTTGAAGCCTAGGGAGCCCCCCAAGGCCGGGCAGGATCCCTCCCCGCTGTGGTCGGACACTGCTGGACAGACACGGGAGGGAAAAAGCAGGAAAAGGCCTGTGCCGGGGAGAAGGCAGCTCTCCGTCCCCTCAGGCAGCTTAGTAGTGCCCCCCTACTCCACGCACAGCCTGGCCCTCAGGGCACCGACTCGAACTTGGGGGGCCCACGTGCCCAGCTGAGCGCAGGCAGGGGGCGCTCGTGGTCCTTGTCAGACTCTGGCTGGCTCTGGGCGCGCTCGGGCTTGGGGTTGGTGGGCGGGTCTGGCTGCTGCACTGACATGGTCCTACGCAGGTGGTTGCGCTTGCGCAGGAAGTCCGGCTGCGCGTGCAGGCCGAAGCTGCCCTTGCGCAGGATCATGCGCGAGTTGTTCTTCTTGGGGCGCGAGCGGTGGCTGGCCTCCAGTGCCGCCAGGTGTGCAGCGTAGCCTTCGCTCAGGAACTGCGGAGGGGACAGGATTCAGCACGGCAGGGTGGCACAGGCCCCTGTTCTGTACCCCCCGCCACCATCACCCTTCCTCCACCCTAAAACCCTACCATGGGGTCTCTAGCTTCTCCATGGAACCTCCAGGAAACGAGAAACTCATGACCATTTAAGTTTCCCCATTCTGCTTTGGACAGCTGAGCTCGCCTATCTGTACCCCTGATCAACTCGAGTTCTTTAGATTCTTGATGGGTGTGAAACTTCCATCTTTGTCACCTTCATTACAATCCCAAAACGTTAAGTCTCTTGCACCATCCACCTTCTACCCCATGGAATTTTGACATTTTCTGACCCCACAGCTGCCCTTCTTGCCCATCCCTCTCACTGTGTCCTCAGCTTGCTACTCAAAGTCTGGTCCCTGGGTCAGCAGCAGCAGCACCTGGACCCTTGTTAGGCCCCAACCCAGGCCTTCAGAATCTGCACTTAAACAAGATCTCCACATGATCTGTGAGCAAATTTAGAGTTTCAGATCAACACTGCTCTACCAGTCCCCACTCTGAGGTCCCTCCATCTTCTGAACCTCCATCTGCTGATCACTGTCAGACACCTCACACTCAGCATGCTCCAAAAGGAGATCATCACCTTCCCTTCAATCTGCTCCTTCAACCTGCTTCTCATTCCAGTAATGACACCCCATCACCAAGACGACATAGTCCAGTGCCACCTCCAGATCTTTACCTACCCCTCCAGATGAAACCACCTCTTCCTCTGAGATGCTCACCATCTTGCCGCTTCCTCTCGGGTTTCCCTTTTCTTCATCCCACACATTGGATCCGTTCATTACCAATCCAACCTGCCTATAAATACCTCTCAGACCCTCTGCCTTCACTCCTCTCTGCCACCACCCTGCCACCACTTTCCTCCATCTGCCTTCTACCTGCCGCCTGAGGGATCTCTCTGAATCACAAATGCAATCTGAAGACGTAGAGTCCCAACTTGGCAAGGCACACAGGCCATGGTGATGCACTGCTACTCTAGCCCCCAAGCCCACTCTCACACTCCCACATCACACTCAGCCAGGCTGAGTCACGTGTAGCTCCCAGAAATGCATGTTCTCTGTCACCTCCTGACCTTTGCTTTTGCTGCTAACTCTGTCACAAATGCTCCTCCAACCTCCTGGATAGTTCCTTTAAACTCCCCAAAACCAGCCTTACCCTGACTGAGTCCAGCTTAGCTGCTCCTGGCTGAGGCCCCACAATTCTCTGTGCTCTCTATCATTCATTATGGTTCTTGCCACACTGCACTGTCATTGTCTGCAAATTTTTCCATCACCCACTAGACTGGATGGCATGACATCCGATTCCCCTGGGGACTATCCCCTGCTTCCAACACAAGCCTGGCCCAGTAGTATTTGTTGAGTGAATGAATAAATGAGTAAATGAAGGAATGAGCAAATAAAGGAATGAACCGCCTACCCCCGCTACCCTTTACCAGTCCCTACCCCCAGCCCAGCATCCACCCACCTGGCACTGGGTTTGGTACTTCTTGGTGGGCCGGCCCACAATGAAGATCTGGGAGGGTGGCAGGCCCAGCACACTGTAGACAGAGATGTCCTTCGTGGAGCCATAGGCAGCGCTGATTTTGATGAAGCACTGGAACACAAGGCAGTTCACGGTAGGAGAGGAGGCCAAGTCAAACTATTCCCCCAAAAGATTCCTAGTCCCCCCCCCCTCAAAGGAGCCCCTACCTGAGGACCCTTTATATGTACACTGATAGACTCCAAGTCATGGAGTCAGCACTATTAATAGGTTCTGTAACAACTGGGCAAAACTCCTCTGCGGACAGGGAAACTGAGGGCCAAGACTGTAGCCAGTTCTGTCTGGCCTCTAATCCTGTGCCATCCACACCACATCAGACTATAGCACGCCATTTGGCCACTCCCTGGTGCTGGCTGGTATGATGTCCTCCTGAGAAACCTCATCCCAATTAAGAGAATTGCCCAGCTCTTCCTCACGCCAGTGTCACCTCCAGATCCTCACCTATCCCACTGGTATGAAACCACTTCCTCCTTTAAAATGCTCACCATCCTGCTGCTCCTCACTCTGAGCCCCCACCAATGCCATCTCCTTTTCTCCACCCTCCCTCCCTCCAAGTTCGCTAGAGACTTTTGGGTCCCAGCTTTTCTTCCTCCTAAGTCCCATCATCACTGGGATGACTTCCTGTCCACATGGATGATCCACCAACCACCTGAGCCTCTCCATGTCTTGCTTTCTTTAAGGTCAGTGGCTGCCACCTCCAGGACTGAACCCAGAACTATCCCCTCTGAACTCAGAACATCCGCTTTCCCAGGCTAACCCCACTCCTACCTCCCAAAGTCTTTTACAGACTCTTCTCCAGCCTCATCCACACCTTTGTTTTCTGCACACCCCTCCTGCCGCACATGCTCCTCACCCCACCTGGGCTCACTGTGGCCTCCCCGTGTTCTCTGGCCTCCACCTTGGAGACAGCCCTTCACCCTCCTCCTACACTCACTTGGCCATACCTCAGCCTGGAATTTCTCCACTCCCACCTTTTCCAATTCTATATGCTGACAACTAAAAGCTGCTGGAGAAACACAGCTCTGGCCCCACATAATCTTCCTGATCCACCTCCCTAAGATAAAAACATTTCCCAATTTTTACTTCCCTCCCTGAGCTGCTACCCTGTCCTGTGGGTGACTTTGTCTTGGCGGTTGAACCAAAAAGAGGGCTTCCTCAGTCCACTGGCCCTCTCTTCATTGGTTGCTTTGTTCCCAGACTGCCTTTAGCTCAGAGAAAGGAGCAGCCTCTTTGTCTTACCCTGTCCTGCCTCCCAGTATGCCCTAGCTCATTCCCACAACTTCAATCCAGCAAGTCCACTCCCACTCGTACTACCCATCAGAGCCAAGACCTACTTTCTCGGCTCCTCACCCCACTGCTTCTGACCCCCTGACCCTCTGAGGTGTCCCTTCCTCACCAAGGTCATCAGTGTCCAGTTTTCATCACGAGAACATTTCTCACCAAACCACACATCTTTACAAGAAAAACACTCTCCTTCTGGAAACCCTCTCCTCCCTGACACAAGGAAACTTCTCTCTCCTGGTCTCCTCCCCATCTGGCTCTCTGGTTCCTCAGCTGGCTCCTCTTCCTGCTGTCGGGGACCCAGTGCAGCCTCTTCTCGCCCCCTCCTGTGGCTTCACTGACCTGCTTCAGCTGGGGCTGGAATGACTCATGTCCCATGGCCATTCCAGCCCTGATGTGTCCACACATTAGCTCATCTTCTTCCAGCCTGGTCCTCCTCTGTGTCCTTTCTCATTTCATCCATTCACTCATTCATTCTACTAAGTTTTATGGAGTGCCTACTGTGTGCCATCATTGCTCCAGATGCCAGAGATATATTAGTGACAAAACAGACACAAGCTCTGCCTCCATGGAGATCACGGTAAGGTTAGTAGCACCTCCGTCCCTCCTGGTCACCCAAGATGGACATCTGAGAGCTCCTCACTCCCTCCATCCAACCATCACTGAGACCTGACAATTCTATCTCCTCATTCACCCATGTCTTTTTCTCTATCCATGGCCACCACCTGGATTCCTGTCTCTTGTTTGGGCAACAGCCTCTTAATTGACCTCCTTAACTAGCCTCTCATTTCTCCTACCAATCTGTTCTCCACACAGCCACCAGGGGAAAAAAAAAACTCTTTCTACAACCCAAATTAGACACTGCCACTCCCCTGTGTTAAGCTCTTCCATGGCTCCTCACTGCCCTCAGCAGAGTTCATGGTCTTTGCCTGGTTTCCAAGTTTTTCAAGGCCTGCCAAGCCCAGGTCCTTGATGACCTCCAGGGCCTCCGCTCCCACTTGACTTGGGTCTGACCCTACACACACCCCCTATCCCTAACATCTGCAGCTCTGAGATTGTCCCAGGCTCTTTCGTACCTCAGTACGATTCTGCTGATTCTTTGGCCACCTGACAAATTCATACTCATGCTCCAAAACTCTGCTCAAAAGTTACCACCTCCTAGAAGCTTTCCCTGGTCTCCCCAGCCCTTTCTCCTCGGTTTGCCAATAGGCCTTTTCTAATTACCCACCAGTAAATTGTCCATTCACATGTGTTTCTTCCTCTAGATCAGAGATTGGTAGACTTTTTATGTGAAAGACCAGATAATATAGATTTTAGGCTTTGCACTCTGTCGCAACAACTCAACTGTTCCATTGTAGCCCAAAAGCAGCCATAGACGACTCATAGCAAATGAGCTTGGCTACGTTTCAATAAAACTTTATTTATGGACACTGAAATTTGAGTTTCATATAACGTCCACATGTCAGGAAGTAATATTCTCCTTTTGACTTTTCAGCCAATCATTTAAAAGTATAAAAACCATTTGTAGCTCACGGATCATATAAAAAAAGGCTGTGGGCCATATTTAGCCCTTGGGCCATAGTTTGTCAATCCTTGCTCCAGATCAGCAGTCCTCAGAACTTTGTAAACATCAGAATCCCCTGGAGAGTTTGTTAAAACACAGATTGCTGGGCCCCTCCCAGAGTTTCTGATTCACTAGGTCTGAAGTGAGGCCAGAGAATTGCATTTCTAATGAGCTCCCAGGAGTACTGTGCTGTGGGTCCTGGGAACATACTGTGAGAACCAAACCCCAGGTCTAGGTCAAAGCTCTGGAGAGCATGTCCCACATTCTCTTTGTCTCTGTGTGGCCCCTAGACCTAGGACATAATAGGCACCTAGGTTTCTGTTGAACGAATAACCAAATGCAGAGACAAGAGTGCAGGCTTTAGGGTCAGGAGATAAAAGATGAAAGTCTGACTCTGAGATCTTGGACAAGTCAGTGAGGCTCGCCTTTCTCATCTCTCACTGAGAATAATAATATCTACCTCACAGGGCTGTAAAAGGACCCAGTTAGACCCACGTGGATGTGCTTTGCAAACTGGGTATCCACTTGCACAGTGGGAGATGGCAGGGCACATGGATGAGGCCCCACCAGGTTGAGGAAGGAGGAGAGGAGTGTGGAGGACGGTCCTGGAGGTCTCATCCCCTCTCAGGCCAAAGCCCCGCCTCAGGGCCAGAAACTCACCTCCTGCACGAGGTTGCGGAGGAAGATGGCTTTCTGCCGCAGTGGGTCGTGCACCAGCCCATCAGAGAAGAAGATCATGCCCTGTGGGAAGTTGTGCTGGGACAGCCATGACACCACCCGCTGCTTCTGCATGTCCGGCCGCCCCGTGATATAGAGGATCATGTAGCCCAGGTCTTGCCAATGCCTGGTGAGACAGCATTGCAGGGTCCAGCCCAGCCCCAGCCCTGCTCAAGCCACCTGCTGCCCAGTGGCCTTCCCTACCTGCTGCCCTCCTGAGAAGCCAGAGGGGCTACTCAGAGGAACACTGGGGAAAACCAGGGGGACCCCCAAATTCATCCTCCTGGTTGAGCCCTGTGAGTCCTGGATATCTCTCCTGGATGGCCCATAGACCCGCATGCCCACAGCCCACTGATACCTCCACTCCTGCTGCCTCTGTTCATGTCCCCATCTCCATGCTGCTGCCATCATCACTCAAGTTTCCGGAGCCAAAGACAAGCCACCTTCGATTCTTCTCATTTCCCTCCACCGCCCCTCTCTCTTCCAACCAGTGAACCAGCCTTTCATTCCACCAGGAAAGATCTTTACACTCTCACTTTAATCCATTTCTCAGCCTTACTTCAGGCCCCGTCTCTCACCTGAACCACTGCAAGAGCCTTCTGGGAGGCCTTTTTGCCTCCAGTCCCCCCAACACCAATCTAACCTGGGCCATGCAGTGTCGGCCAGGTTACTTAAACCCCAGCGTTTCAGTTTCCCCATCTGCAAAATGGGGATAATAATAGCAACTACTGCAGAGGTCATCCCATGGATAAAATTAATTAATCTCAAACATGCCTGGCATGCTGTGCTCTATGCAGTTGCTTTACTATCAACCCCTATACTGTTTTCACAGTGATGTCTGTAAATCACAAATCTAACTTCACTACTTCTTTGCCTAAACCTATTCCTGGCTCCTCAGTGCCCTGAAGTCACAAGGCCTGTCTGCACTAGAGGCTCTCCATGCTGTGCCCTTGAACTTGGCCTCCCCCCCAGTCACAAAGAGCTGCTTGGCTGTCCCAGAGAAGCCCTGTGCTCTTCTGTTGCAGACTCCTCCCTTAGACAGCCATCATGGCTGCATCCTATGTTCCTATCCTCCCATATTTCCAGGCTCCTTCCTTCAGGAAGCCTTCCCTGCTTCCCAAACAGAATCAGCCTCTTCTCTGTGCCCCTACAGCTGACTTTACATGGCATCAGGCTGATCCCTGAGATGAGATCGAGCCTGCCCAAGACCAATGTAAAGTAGAGCTTTTGTAGCACTAGCCACCAACTGGCCACTATAGATTGGGGGGTTTCAAACCTGGAAGATGATCTAAGAGATTTAGAGAGGTTTTGTAACAAGACAGAGGCCCAGGTGTCGCTCTCAGAGATTCTGGTTAGTTCTAAGGTGTGGTCCAGTGATCTGTGATGACAAAAAGCTGTTTCTGATGAGCAGCAAGGTTTGGAGAGCACCACAGTGGCCGTAGGAGCCCACAGGACAGAGATGAGAGCACTGGATGGATCCCCAGAAAGAAAGGAGCACAGCCTCCCCTTTCCAGTTGTGGGATGCTGACTTAGGAGGGGGTTTAGAGAAGATGTTATAATGGGAATAAATGACCTAGCCTTACAAGGGGGAGGCTGACCTCTGAGATGAGATCGAGCCTGCCCAAGACCAATTCCTACGGGGCCAGTTCGCATGGGCAGTCTCCCAGGAGCCCCTAAGCCAGGTTAGTCTTCTCTCCCCAAAGCAATCGCTGCTACTGGGATGAGGCCAGATAGTTTTGTCCCAACCCCAAGAACTCCCACGGCCCTGAATCAGATCCATTCTTGGAGTTCTGATCACTTGGCGCCCTGGATCAGTTTCTCATGCTGGTGATTTGTTCTTTCCACAGGACTGTGAGATTCCTCCCACTAGGATCTCTCTCTGCATCAGTGCTCAGCACAGAGCCTGGCTTAGGAAAGGGTGGATGGAGGCAGGGCTGGAGGGAGGCAAGGAGGGCAGGAGGGACTAAAGTGGTACTTCTTTTGCTTTTCTCTTGGCAAACCCTTTTACACTCCTCTTAGCAATATAATAGTTCTGAAAGGTTGTGCTTCTATTCACACCTTCTGCCCTGTCCTAATCTGGTTTCCACAATCTAACTACCCTGAACTTGTCCCATCTAGTCCCCACATGCTCTGTTCTTTCTTGTCCTTGTCCTTCTTGGCCTATCAAAATCAATTTTGTATCTTCTTCTTTGCACCTTTCTTCTTTTGCTAATATTTGTATAATGGCATGGTATGAAAAAATATATACATCCATCCTAGAGACTATCACAAACACCACCTCTCCCAAGAAGCCTGCTCTGCTTTCTCCAATCAGCTGGAATAGCTCCCATCTCTCAATTAGCACTGTGTGTTAGCTCATCTTGATGGCTCCCCCAGTGAACCATGTGTCCCAGTATTCACACCTTTATGTGGTCCTTTCCCCTCAAATCTAGGCTGATCCCACAACTAGCTTATAACCAATAGAATACAGTGGAAAGGACACTGTGACTCGCAAGGCTGGATCCTAAGAAGGCTTTCAGCTTCCACCTGGGTTTCTAGGAACCAGGGCAAGCCAGCCACCCTGTGCAAAATCTAAATAGTCTGAGACCTCCCAGGCTAGCCACATGGAGCAGCCATGTGGAGAGACAGAAAGAGAGACCCAGCGCAGGAACACATATGCATTCAGAAGTCAGCCCTCTTGAATGTCCAGCCCAGTGGAGCCTTCAGATGACCCCGGCTCAGACCACCATCTGACTGCAATCACTAGAGAGACCCACATGGGAACCTTTCAGCAGAACCTAGTCAATCCACAGAATCATGAGACAGAATAATAAATTATTATTTTAAGCTCCTAAGTTTAGAGCCATTTGTTACACAGCAAGAGATCATCAGAACACACTGATTTGATTCTGATTGGGGTCAGAATGTGAGCGACCAGGACTGATTCACTGCAGAGAACATTCAGACAGCACTAGAATAAATGGAAGAAGGAGGGCAGGGAGAGAAGGAGGGAGGAACTAGGGACTAGAAAGTGGCAGGGAGTTTCTCAAGGAAGCTCAGGAAATTAATATTGGAGGTGAAGCCAGGACTTCCCAGCTCATGGCCCGGAGACCAGTGGAATTCCTAGAGGAAACCAGAAACAAAACGCATCTATCTCTCTCAGGTCTTCTGGCTCCTGTCCCAGAAGGACATGTCCCTTGCAAGGAGGTAGCACTCACCGGACAACATCCACTGCCCCCGGCCGGACCTTGGGGTCACTTCCCATGATAGACACGCTGGCTGCAAAGGACCCATCGATGCTGAACACCACACACTCCATGCCGCGGGGCAGCACCGTGAGGTAGCTCATCGCACAGGTCTGGTCGCCCCTGAAAGGTACTACCTATGGTCAGCTGTGTGCTCAGGGTCAGGTGTTAGCCTGAGGACAGAAGTCAGCCTGCAGCTAGGGTCAGAGCTCATTCTGGGGCCAAGGTCAAGAGAATCTGGGGGATGACCTCGTCCATTTTCCTGTCTCCCCAAAGACAGGTATGAGGATCAAAAGAGAGCACCCTTAGGACCCCATCTTCTGGACAGGCCTGGCTGGATTGGTCATGAAAATTGGCAAAACCACCATGAGAACATCCCCTGGGGCTCACCTGACAACCATCTTCACAGGGTAGACACCAACGCCCATGCGCCGGGGCCGCGGCACGCTGTACGTGATTCGGCCACTGCTGTTGGTGATCTCTGTGTCCAGGTGCACCCAGCGGCCTGAAGATGGCTCTGCCATCACCAGGATATCCACCTGCAGGCAGCAAGGAGGCCAGGGGACTCCTTGAAGGCTGGGAGTGTGGCTTCAGACTTAGCTTAGGGGCTCTCTACCAAGACAGCAGGCTCCAGGGCTTAGGGTCCTGCCCTGTGTTTCCTGGCTCCTACTACACTATTTCTCTCTCCTCTGCAGCCACATTAGCTTCTCGGATGCCCCCAGGTTCATCCCTTGCTCCTTGATCACTCTTTCTGACCTGCCAAGGCAGGATGAATGTCCCTCAGCTCAGCCCTCCCAGAGCCTTCACCCCATGTGCCATGTGGTACCATGAGGTACCTAGTGCACATGCAGCTGGCCGAGGAGGGGACAACCCAGCCTCCATACCTTCTCTCCTGTCAGAGCCACCATGTCGAGGGGCCCATACATGAATCGCCCCACAAGGACCTGAGGGCCATCTTCAGCAGCAATCACATCGTTGGCCCGGTGGTTAGCAGTGACGTTCTGGAAGGACAGAAACCAGCTCAGCCTCGGTGAGTTGGGTGGACCTTACATTTTCATTACATTGTTCTTAGGATTAGTTGGAGGGATATGGACTCACCGAATTAGGCTTTTCTATTAACTCCCATTAGAGTTTCTGAGACATGTTCCCCTGGAACCCATGAGAAAAAAACAGACCCTTTGCCCTAGGTCTGTCTACAAAGAGCACTGGAGTTCCTGTAGATCATCAGTCCCCAACCTTTTTGGTACCTAGGACCAGTGCTCCTATGAGAATCTAGTGCCTGATGATCTAAGGTGGAGCTGAAATGGTGATGCTAGCTAGCACTAGGGAGTGGCTGCAAACACAGATGGAACTTCGCTCACTTGCCCGCCACTCACCTCCTGCTGTGCAGCCTGGTTCCTCCTAACAGGCCATGGTACTGGTCCATGGCCCAGGGCTTGGGGACCCCTGCTGTAGATGCACATTCTCTGCTCTTGATTCTCCTCTGCAATCCTGAGGAACCACCAGTCCTCACAACCTGTCATCCTAGTTTCCTAGGCCGGAAACTGCCAGTCACCTTTGCTTCTTCCTTCAGCATCATGGCTCACATCTGATAGCCATTTACTATCCATCTTAGTGAGAGCTATCAAACGTACAAGAGTAGAGAGAACAGTGTAACGAAGTCTCTTGTACTCGGCACCAGCTCCTCCACTTATCAATTCATGGCCAGTATGGTGCCCTTCTTCCCTTGGTGAATCCTCACCCCACCCTGACCCCAGATGATTTTGAAGTCATCTTGGATGTTGTATCATTTTATCTGTAACAATCCCAACATCCTCATCCTTCTGCACCTCTGGTTTCAATTCATTCTGCAGCTCAAAGGCCTCTATTGGTCCAACCACCCACCACTCCCAGCCTGGCTTCAACATTGGAGTCACTTGGTCTGGTGCCCCTTCCTTTACAGAAGGAAGATACCTTTACATGGTATCTCTCCCCATACCCATGTTATCTCTCATCTAGTCTGCTAATAGCTTCTTAATGAAGCTCCTTATTCTAAAACAGACACTGTGGCAGATCTATTATCTTTATAAAACAAATCTGTTAACACCCAGTGCCCTCCAAATGAAGTCCAAATCCTGCACTCAGCATCAAAGCCTTGCCTGGGGAAGCTTTTCAGTCTTATCTCCTGCTGATCCACTTCCAAGCCCCTCTGGTCTTTTCAGGCCAGGCTCCATGGTAGCCTCCAGGTCTTTGTTCATACTGGGTCTCCACTCCACATGCCATCACTGGTCCTCTGCCCCCACATTCCAGCCCATCCACTATGATATGACTCAACTTTGTTCCCTCCAAGAAGCACTGCTTGGACTCCCCAAGGATGGTTCCCCAAGGACTTTACAATTCCTATGGCATTTTAATTCAATTCGACAAACATTTGCAGTCACCTCATCTACACTGGTCCCTGAACTGGGCTCTGGGGACACAGAGAGGGACCAGTCATGAACCCTGCCCTGGAGTTATTCCATTATGTGTGGGACAGAGGTTCCCTACAGGAACACTGGAGAGGGAAGAGTTGATTCATGGAAACAAATACATAGAAAAGTGCTCAATATCACTAGTCACCAGGGAAATGCAAATCGAAATCACAATGAGATATCATTTCATACCCACTAGGATGACTAGAATCAAAAAAAAAAAAAAAAGATAATAACAAGCATTGGCAAGGATGTGGAGAAATTGGAACCCTCATACACTGCTGGGGGGAATGCAAAATGATGTTGTTACTTTGGAAAATTTTGGCATTCCCTCAAATAATTAAACTAGAGTTACCTTTTGACCTAGCAATTCTACTTCTAGGTATATGCCCAGGAGAAATGAAAATATATGTCCACACCAAACTTATACACAAATATTTACAGCAGCATCATTCACAGTAGACAAATGTAAGAACGACCCAAATGTCCAACTTATGAATGCATAAACAAAAAGTAATATATCCATGCAATGGAATATTATTCAGCCATGAAAAGGAATGGAATACTGATGCATGCTATGACATGGATGACCCTTGAAAACATTATGCCAGGTAAAAGAAACCAAACACAAAAGACAGCATATTGTATGGTTCCATTTATATGAGATGTCCAGAATCAGAAAATCTATAGCGACAAAAAGTAGATTGCTGATTGCTTAGGGTTGGGGGGATCCAGGTAGGGGATAATAGCTAATAAGTAAGGAGTTTCTTTTTGAAGTGATGAAAATATTCTAAAATTGACTGTGGTTATGGTTACACATATCTGTGAATACACTAAAATCCATTGAATTATACACTTTAAGTGAGTGAACTGTACAATATTGGAGTTATATCTCAATAAATATGTTTACAAAAAAAGTCAATCCATGGAGCTTTGATCACCTTCTACTTTTTAGGATTGTTTTTGGGGTCCATATCTGATCTTTCTACCAGACTGGACGTGCCCCCCACAGCACTGTCTGTGTCTGTAAATCCCTATTCCCCCACTCCCTAGCAGAAGGACTGGGACACAGTGGGCACTGATGATTGTTTGCTAAATAAATAAATGAATGAACAGATACCAAACTCCTATTCATACTTCAATACCCTATAGAGGTGACTCTTCATGGAATCCCTGTGTGGAATACCCTGCAATTCTTCTCTCCATCTTTTTCCTAATAGGTATCTCTCTCTATCACAGCAAATACCACACCATGGCATACTTGGTGGATCAGACTATGAGCCCTGTGTTCATGGACGGGACTCTTTCTGATTTATATCCACATATACAGAGGCCTGGCATATAGCAATCGCTTCATAATTGGCTTCTCCTCACCAACCCCAGTGCCCTGGACCCCCATTCCTGGGGCTCCTGTGGAGCCAGGCCACCAAGCTCTAGCTCTCCCATCTCACATACACCCCATCCCCACTGCACTGCCAAGGGAATCATCTGAGCATGAAGCCTAGTATGTATGAGCACTCAGCTCTGAGGGGCAAATCCAAGGCCTTACCTGCCATGTGGATGCCCCAGCCCTCAAGGCAGCCACACCTCCCAACCAGTATGTGACCCCAGTGAGCACATACCCGCAGCTTGACCTGGGTCCTCTTACGAAGCCACTTCTCCCGGGGATTAGCAGGACTCAGTGCTGCGGGATCCAAGCCAGCGCTCTCCTTGACAGTCACGCTCTCATAGCGCATCACCTGACACACAGCCGAGCGGGGCCTCCACGTCAGGCCGTCTCAACCCCTCTCCCTCCTTCCCAGGGTACCAGGGGCCACCAGCTTTTGGCCAGCAAGCCCTCCCCCAGGTCACCCCACTCCCCAGCTTGGAACCCTCAGGAGGCTGGAGACCCTAGGACCCACCTCCCTGCCCACCTGGACTGACAGCTGGAGCCAGAGCACTGTCTAGTAAATGCTCTGGTCTAAAAGCAGCCTCTGCCCCCCACACCCAAACCTAGCAATTACCTACATCTGTGCCCATTCTCTGCCTTCCTTCTTATTACAGAAGGCCAGCTGGAGGCCTGATCCCAGAGCCTCCAACCCACTCAAGATCAATGCTCCAGCAACACTCCCTCTCAGTCCTGCATCACTGATTAGCCCCTGAGTGATCCCTAGGATCATTTTCTTTTGCATCCAAATGTGCTGTAACTGTGCCCACCTTTAAAAAAAAAAAAAAAGAAAGGAAGGAAGGAAGAAAAAAAGAAGAAAAGAAAACTTAGAAAAAAACACTCTCCCTAGGACCCCTGGTGCCTCCAGTGACCACTGCACTTCTCTGCTCTCTGGATGTTCCACAGTGTCTCCCCTTCTCCACCTACCTTCTCCTCTTCACCCACTCCAGTCAGGTTTCTGTCCCTATCGCTCCACAGAAGCTATTCTTGCCAAGGCCCCATAACTTCCATCCTGCCCTGCTCATAGGTATACGCCTGTCCATCCAACCTCAGGAGATGTCCTCTCTTCCTCCATCTCCCTCTCTCCCTGGTGGAGCTACAGGACTCACCCTTGAACTTCTACAGCTGTGGAAACTCCCTCAGTATCTGTGGTGGTGTGATTTATCATAAGAAATATATATTTGGTCTTCATCCCCGTTAATGGAACAGAGCACCTAAAACCCTTGGAATTCCCTAAGTGATGAGAGTGACAAAGGTGTCTCTTGTTATGTTACTTTGTTAGGTGACTTTGGGGTTGGTTGCCCCAGGAATAGAGGGTTCTAACTTTCAGTCCCAATTCCTGACCTCCAGGGAGGAGAGAAGAAATAGAGGTTGGATCACTTGCCAATGGCCAATGATTTAATCAATCATGCTTATGTAATGAAGCCTCCATTTTAAAAAAAAAAAATGGGGTTCCCAGAGCTTCCGGTTTGGTGAGCACATGGAAATTTGGGGAGAATAGCATTCCTGAAGAGCTTTTCACACACATCTTCTCCCCATATCTTGCCCTATGCATCTCTTTCATCTGGCTCTTCCTGAGTTGTATTCTTCTATAATAAATTAGCAACCTAGTAAGTAAAATGTTTCTCTGATTTTTGTGAGCCACTTTAGCAAATTAATCTAACCCAAGGAGAGGGTTTTGGAACCTCCCACCTATAACCTGTTGGTCAGAAGTCCAGGTGACAACCTGGCTTGGGATTGGCATCTAAAGGGAGATTGGGGTTTACTTGTGAGACTAAAGCCTTACTTTATAGAATCTGAGCTATTTCCAAGTAGATAGTGTCAGAATTCAGTTGAATTGTAGGACACCCAGCTAATGTGAGAGAATTACTTGGTATGGGGAAGAAACCACATACTGGAATTGGTGTCAAAATTGAGCATTGTACCTGCGCTGACTTTAAATGCCATCTAAGCTCTGATGACCCCACATATTTATCTCTACGCCTGACATTTTCCCTAAGCTCCAGACTCTCTACTTGCCTTCCCTCCCAACATCTCACAGGCATCTCACTTTCCCAAGTCCAGATCCAAGATTCTGTTTCCCTACTTTACCCCAGCCCTGCTCTTCCTCAACTCTAGGGAATGGCAACACTGTAGATATTCAAGTGGAAAATAGGATCCATTGGACTCCCCCCTTTCCCTCACAGCCCAGATGCCAGCAAGTCCTGCCACCACAACTGAAATCCTGCTGCTCCTCAGCACCTCCGTCACCAGCACCCTAGCTAGCCCAAACCATCATCTCGAAAGCTGGGCTCCTACCTTTGCCTCATAAAGAGCCTTATGCATTTTCTTGTGCCCCAAACAGCAGCAGGGCTTCTTACTAAAAATATGTCAGTTGATATTTTTCCCTGCAATGGCTTCTCATTGGACCCAGCATAAAATCAACTCCTGACCTTGGCCATGGAGGCTGCAACCAGTTGGAAGCTGATCCAACCCCCACATGCATCCCCACCTCCTTCCTCCCAGGTTCTCCCTCAGTCACTGGCCTCTCTGCTCCACCTTTTCTTTTACAGATGAGGACATTGAGACCCACGGAGGGGCAGGCATTTATTACTCCAATCTCCAAGTTGAAAGATGGATACATTCTCCTATATAGTTTCTATTTAATTCTCTAGAAAGTACCATACCATTAATCAGAAGCCAATGCTCTTTAAGAAACCCACTATCTGGCTGTGTCACCCCCCACTTGGCTGAGTGCTCCAATGCCTTCCCAATGCCTACAGAGTAAGCGTCTTCTCCAGACATAGAAGGACTGGACCCTCCAGAGGGGCCCTGTAGGCAGGGCCCAGGCAGGGGGTGGAGTACCTGTCTCAGGATGAAGGCCACCACGTCTGTGGACTCCCAATAGCTGGCATGGAACAGGTGGGGTAGTGCCACAGTGGGGAAGGCTGTGAGGACTTCAGGGCAGTACAGGGCATAGTCGATGCGCTTGGCACCCCACCACTTGGCTGTGACTGCAGGGCCGAGAAGGGAGATGAGGACAGAATGGCCTGCCCAGGGCTGTGACCCAAGGGGCAGTATGGACATGCTACCAGGGCACAAGTTTGGGGCCAGAGCATCCAGCTCAAAATGAGCTAAGAAATGTGCTGCTCCCTCTCCCACCTTCTCATAACCCACCAGCCCCTTTGCTTGCCCACTGCTCCTCTGGGACATGTGTTACAAACTGTCCCTAGGAATAAGGACTCATGGAGACGTCCACAGTCTCGCTCCAGGGCTGCTGGTCAGCAGGAGTTCCCAGTAGGAAAATTGAATGTTGGGATTAGGGCTCTGGCTGAGGTCAGAGCTCAGTCTATGCCTAAAGAGGTCATGGCTTAGTTTATGGTCAAAGGTCAAGGCCCCAACTAGGGTCAGAGGTCAAATTTCTCTCTGAGGTCAGAGTTCAGTCCAAATTTCCTTTACCCCACCTCCCCACCTGAGTCCTGCCCTCAGCAGCCCTGGCAGTGGACCAGTGGCCACCCAGAGGAAGGGCCCTCTCCCTTGAACCCAGGCAAGCCCCAGAAGACCCTCACTCACTGTGAGAAGTGCCCACAGGTGCCAAGCTGTCTGAAGACTCCGAGCTGTCACTGTGGGAGCTGCCCTGGCTCATCCTCCGTACCAGGCGCTGGGACCTCAGGGCCTGAGGGGGCGAGGCAGGGGCATCCAGGTGTGGTGGGCTACCCTGAGAGCTGCCCTCCAGAAAGAGAGAACTGTGGGTGTGCAGGGCGTCAGCTGGAAGGAGAATTTCACAGTCAGGGCTGAGTAGAAGATCTCAATAAAGCTGCCCATGCTGTGCCAGATCTGTGTTGGGCAGGAGGCTGGGTACTCAGAGGGACGTGCCCAACAGGAAGCCTGCACCTCCCATCCCCAGGGCCTGACGGTATCCCGCCATAGTATGTCATTGGGTTTCACATCCTCTAAGTTGTAGATTAGGCAGGCACAAGTGGGGGTCCCAACCATCACCACTACCCCCAATAGAGCTACCGAGGGCACCTCTTGGAGAATGTCCCCAAAAGCACCAGATGAGGTCAAGGGGTGACCATTTACCATGTGCTCTTGTATCAAACTCCTCTCCTGAGCCACAGATAATGGTGGCTGAGCTTGGAAGTGAATGGAGACCCCAGCCTGGGAGCTAGGGCACTCTCTGGGGGCAGGGAGATGCCCCAACCAAAGAGGGACACATTTAAGGGTGCGAGAGGGAGGTTTTGGAGCCTCTTCTCTCTATGGAAGCTCCTGAAAAAGCAGAATTTTGGATATCAAGTGCTGACTTTTAATACTGAATGAACCACAAGCACAGCATTCTCCCTACAATCTGGCTGAAACCTCGGAACAGGCTCTGGGGCATGGAGCCAAGGCTCTGATCCTCAAGCTCCTGACTGTCCACTACGGGCCTCCCCTTGACCTCACCCTAGTCCATACCCGGCTTATCCCACTTGAGCCACAGAGGCCACGAGCGTCCCCCAAACCCACCTGCCCTTGCTCTCTCCACCTAGAGGATCCCCCAACCCCCATTCTCCAGCTTTTCTCCACCTGTCCAAAGGCCTTGGTCGAAGGCTCCCTTTTCCACGAAGCCCACCAGAATGAGACACTTCCTGCTTTGTACCTCCAGAGTCCAGGTCGGGTACCAGGCAATAGCAATCAGCAGGATCCTTGGACTTTCAATCAGGCCTGACAGTATTATGCTGACCCTAACCACAGGAGCTCAGCTGGGAGTTGTCAAGGGCAGAGTCTAAGTCTCTGAGCCCCAAGATGCCTCTAACAGAGCATAAGTTCACACAGGTGGGCCACTCAGAAGGTAGGTGCATCAACTGTTTGCCTGTTCTTTTCCCCAAGAGGACACAGACCTTACTCAATTAGGTCTAGTCACTCCATCAGCTGACAGTTTGGAGGGGACAGATAGGATGGCCCCGGAGTGCTACCTGGCTGGGACCCAGCTCCAGCTCAGCAAGCTCTTTCATACCCCTGAGTGCCTACCGAGGAGAAGGGACTGTCCGTCACCCATTGGAAACCTCTGGTAGCGGGGCACGCTGATGGGCGGCACCAGGTGGAACTTGGGCTCCAGCAGTGGCTCAAGCCTCGAGGCGGAGGGGTCTGCACAGTGGAAGAAGCTGTAGACCTGGCTGCAGGCAGGACGCACCTGGAAGCCTGGGGGGTGGGAGGAAACATGGGAGAATCCCCTTGCTGGTACCTACTCCCTTGGTCCTGGGAAGCTCCCCTGAGTGCAGCTTTGAGCAGCCTAATTCTCTGCTCAAGAACCTGCCATGGCTCCCTGCTCCAACAGGATCAACGTCATTATGTTCAATTTAATAGGCTGCCCTGCTAAGTGCATTATGTTCAATTTAATAGGCTGCCCCACCTAGGAGCACAGCTGTAAGAACCCAGTACTGCAGCTGTGGTAGCCAGCTGCAACTCCCCAACCAGTCTTGCTGTGGTCCTTTCTCTGTGCCTTAGCTCAAGCTGCCCCTCCTCCTAGAAGGCCCTTTTTCACTATCTCCACTAGTAAAACTCCTTTAAATTCTTGCAGCTTTTAATTAGTTGCTACTTGATGTATGAGGTTGACCCAGTGTCTTTCAGTCAGGATCAAAGGCCCCTTCCTCCAGCCCCTACTCAATTCCTACACTTGGTGGTAGTTCCTGGTTTGCCAGAGCCAGCAATACACTTCTCTCATAGACCAGCAGATGTCTCCACTGAGGCCTCCTCCTCATCTGTGTCTCCCTGTCCCTCTAAGTCAGTCCAGGATCCAGGGAGCACTAGGGTTCCTTAGCAACCATGGGGTTTTGCCTCCTCTCCCTACTTCACCACCTGCTGGTGCAAATCACCTCACTGTATATTTTAGAAGAATGGAGGAAGGCATTCAAGGCTGTGGGTAGTACATGAGCAAAGGCACTGAGGTGGGCCTGGGTACATGCGGGGGTCAGTAAGATTGACCTGGCCGCAGTGGGTCAGTCTGGGCACTGGAAGAGGAGGGAATGGGTACAATAGGGTAAATATTTATGGCTTCTCTTCCCATAGAGCATGACAACTGGACAACAGGGCCACAAATGGACCAGAGGCATGTGACAAGGACAATGAAATCCACCAGGGGCTACCTCAACTTTGCTCCATCTGGGGAAACTGCCTCACTCTCTCTCTTCTCCTCTCCCCTCTTTCCTCTTCTCTTCTCTGTCTACCTACCGCAACTCCATGATCCTCCCTGCCCCTGCCCCCCAGCCACACCCTCCCCAGTTTGAGGTCCTGACATGGTGACCTAGTGACACAAAGGCATCTCAGGCCCCAGTCCATGCCACACTCACCATCCAAGCCCGGCAGCACCGTCCTCCGCATGGCCAAGACCAGGCCAAGAGGCGAGCCGAAGAGGAAGAAGTCGGACACGTCAAAGTCCAAGCGGCCCAGGCTGACCTCAGGGATCTGGGGCCCGCTAGCTGCAGGGGGCTCGGCCTCATCCTTCAGCATGCTCGAGTGGATGCTGCCAGGCAGAGGAAGACACAGGAGAGTGGGTTCGGGAAGCACTGAGGATGTGGGGTGTTCACTTAGCAGGGCAGCCTGAAGTCTGGGGGTGGAGAACCCAACCCTCCATCTCTGGGGAAGGGTTCAAACCAGAGTCCCCTCGCTGGATGCTGCAACCATCTCAGCATTGGTCACCAAGGCATGGCCGACATTTGGCTAAGGCAGAGGTCAGCCAACTTTTTTCGTAAAGGGCCAGATGGTAAATCTTTTAAACTTTAAGGGCCATATGGTCTCCATCATATCTACTTACTCTGCAGGCAGCCATAGATGATATCTAAATAAATACATGTGACCATGATCCAATAAAACTCAATTTACTAAAACAGGCTGAGCACCTGAGAATACCTAAGCATCCTACACACTGGCAGGCCTGCCCCGTCGTGCTGGTTTTATGGTGGCTGCACTGAATTCCCGCACTGTCTACCAGGAAGCTCAGCTGGCCAATACGCAGACCAGCTGGGTGATGTCAGTGCTGCCAGGATTAGGGCTTTTGTTGTAACTCATGTTCCAGGCAACCCGCAGACACAGATGCAAACAGCTTGGTCTTCCCTCCCCTCCAGCCCACAGATGAAACAGAGAGCTTAATGAGAAAACCACGAGACGCAGAATTCAAACCATTCACATCCCAGGCACCCACTGCCCCAAAGAGTTCAAGTTGATGTTCAGCCATAAACTCAGATCACGCTTCCCAGGATGGGCAGGAAAACTGGGAACCTCCCTGACCTTCCAGGTGGCATTTGGGCAGAGCTTCGAGTTTAAGGCAATCAATTAACTGAATGCAAATTCAACTAACATACTCAAGTTGGAAGAGAAAGAGAATTTTAGAAATAACAATTGAAATAGAGTGTGAGCTAGGGTCTGGAAAGTTGAATCTGAATCCCCATACTCTGCCTCTTGCAGTGTGAGCATCTCCCAGTGAGGATGATGACTCTGGTGTTTAACAATACATATTTCATGTACAGCGTGGTCCCTAAACACACGCCAACTACTTAATTGCCAAAGAAACAGCCATCTGTCCCTACACCAGAGGGAAAAGCTGGCTGTGTTGGACCAGCTACTGAAAGCCTCCAATTTTTCGTCACTCTCCAAATTTGGGGCTTTCTTAAAGGATTTTTCAAGGATAAACTAGAAATGTGATTTTACTTTGCGACCCAAACTTGAAATATAGCTGCTTTTTTAAAGAATAATCTGTCAGAGGAGCTTTAAATAGTCAGGGATTTAAATATGCAGAGCCTTTTGCCTAATAATTCCTCCTCCAGGAATCCATGTAAATGAAAGAACCTAATATTTACATAAATGTTTATGCACAAAGATAGTCACCAGAGTGCTACTTATAAGTGCAAAGAATTGGAAAAAGCCAAAGTGTCGGTGACTGGGATTAAGTAAGATGTTGTCCATTTACTCAATAAAATATTAAGAATATTTACCAAGTAAAGTATTTTTAATTATATAAGGGAAAAATCAAAATTTTTTTTTTTTAAGTAAAACTATACACAACACATGTAAAAATATACTGAAAGGAAATATGCCAGTGTTAGCAGTGGTTCTCTCTGGGTGGTGAGACGATCTATTTTCCAAATGCCCTACCGACCTCATGGCGGTCTTCTCCACTTGGGTAAGAATGGAGGAAGGGAAGGAGGGAGAAGAACATTGAGGAGAGAGAGAAGAGGAGGCATGTCTTCCAATTTGGGTATATGCTCAGTACTCACTCACATCCTGAATAAATGTGCAGATAATTCATTTAGTGGCAATGAATATGCCTCTTCTAGAAAATTAAATGGTGGACAGTTCTATGGAGGGCCTCACCTGGCCTACACATAGAGGGATGTTTTATACTGGGGAATGAGAGACCAGAATGCTGACCCCAGCTCTTCAGTAACTGGCTATGTGATCCTAGGAAAATTTTGACCTACCTGGCTTCTGTTGTCCCATCTGAGAAATAATAAGAACATACCAAGTAGCTCACAAAACATACCTTTACTTGTTCTTTCACTAGATTCTTAAAGCCATCAGTCAAGTAGGCTGGGCAGCATTTACCCTTTTGCAGAAGATGAAGCTGAGGCTCAGAGACATGAGACTGATTGTCTTGTCTCTCTGCAAGTCTAGGTGAAGCAGGTACAGAGCACAAGGGTCCCATGGGGAGCAGCCTTGGTCTCAGCATTTCAGTGCTTGTCTATGGGCCCCCATGAAAAGGCCTGGGACATAGACTGGTCCCAGACCCCCCAGATGACTTTGAGCCGAGGTCCTCTCTCCTCTGGAAGGACGGTGGGGCACAGAGAGTGGTTACCTTGATAAGAAGGCATGATGCTGGGTGATGGCCTCGCAGTCATAGGTGGAGGAATCGCTCTGTTTCCGTGGCAACGGCCTCTTGGGCTCCTCATCCTCCAACACGCTGGAGACGTCAATGCTGCTTTTGCTGAGCCGCTTGCTGTTGGCCAGACTGCACTCCTCATCCGCTGCAACTGGGGTGTCCTTTGAGACCAAGAAGAGGATAGGAGGGCACTGTGGTCACCAAAGGCTGTGGGGCCCTGCCTCCTCTTCCAAGCACAAATAACCCTTTTTTCCTAGATGTGAGAGGCGATACCTCTTCCAAAAGGAGTGCGGAAGGCACACCCACAAGGCTGTCTCCTGCATCCAAATGGATTGGCAATCCAGTGGGATCCTGGGTAGCTGTCTAGGGACCCAACCCTAAATTGCCCCCTCTGGGCCTCAGTTTCCTCACTTGTGATAGTAATCTCTTGCTACTCTTGTAAGACTATGATATAACACTTTGTAACCTGGATTTCATGCTACAAATATTAAGGGCTCTAACACTACCTTCCCCAGAGAGACCCCTGCTCCCAAAGTCAGACCCCACCCCCCCGCGCCCCACATTCCCACCATCTGGCCCGCACCTGGGTGCTGCTGATGCTCCCCTTCCGGCTGCTGCTGCCAGGGCTGTCGCCTGAGGGCCCTGCACTGTAGCAGATGGCATCAAAGGCCAGGAGGCCCCCCACACAGTCCCCGATGAGACACACCTAGAGAAGGCACAGCTGGGACTACAGGCCTGGCCACTGCTGACCCCTAACCCCCACACCCATCTAGAACTCAGGTTGCCTGTCCATGGGAGAACAAACAACCTGTCCCAGGGAGGCCTGGGAGAGCCCCAGCAGGGGAGGGGTGCTCATTCTGGGGCCAGGGTCAGCCTGAGGACAGGAACCAGGCTAGGGTCAGGGATCAGTCTGGGGCCAACGTCAGCCTTGGGATAGGAATCAGGATGGAACTAGGGGTCAGGCTTGGGTGGGGTCAGCCCGAGGACAGGAACTAGGCTAGAGTAAGGGGTCAGATTTAGGCAGGTCAGTCTGAGGATAAGAATCTGGCTGAGGCCAGGGGTCAGAATGGGGCCGGGGATCAGCATGGGCTCACAATCAGAACTCAGATGTTGGCCTCAGTTTTCCTATAGGTAAAATGAGAATGAACCTAAAGATCTCAGAAGCCTCCTTGGATCTCAGAAGCTATGGCCTCAGAACAGTCTGGTCTGGATCGTTTGGTCAGATCCCAGCCTCTCACCAGTTGGGGCCAGGACAAGGACATGGGGGCAGGCTGTCCTACCTGCCCACTGAAGCCAATGCCATCAGAGGACTTGAGGAACTCTGCGTAGACCTGGTTGGCTCGCTCGATGACTGTGGCAATCGCATCCTGGTACTGCGGGGAAGAGATGGCCAAGAGGGGCAGGGCGGCCAGAGGCACATGGTCCTGGATGTTGCTGAGACAGCCCTCATCATGGCTGTAGGGGTTCAGGCTGCGGACAGGGGGGCAAGGTAAGCCCAGCTGGGATCAGACGTGAAAGCAGGTTTGGGGCTGTGGAACAGGCAGAAGAGAGCATGTGCTGGCTGGGACCTGGGCCCTCCACTCCAGACTCTCCAGGAAGACCCAGGCAGGAGCCAGATGAGACAAAGCACACGGGTAGGGAGGTAGGTGGGGGAGCCAAGCCTATGCTGACTCCCCTGCATGTCCACCCAATGCCAGCCTGTAATGTGTGGGCCCTGTATTCTCCTGCCCACTTCTGCATGGCTCCAAAGAACACCCCAATTGTGGAAGAAGCCAGTAGTATGAATCAGGGTGAGGACATATCATCACGGTAGACTTCCTGGAGGTGGTGGGGTTTGAACTAGACCTCTAAGAAGGCTTTAGGGAAACTAAAAAGGTGGAGAGAGGGCGTGCCAGGCGTGCGGATCACATGTCAGCCACAGCTTAGAGGTGGGCACACAGCTGCATACACAATAGTTATGTCCATCTTTCTGGGACAAAGATCTAGAGACTTCATTGGATTTACAGGAAAACCTGTGAACCCCAGAATGGACTAACAGATCCTGCCTTATAGCTTCTCCACTGCCAGTGGCCCCACCATGGGCTCCCCTTTATTCCTTGCTTCCCAATGAGGAAGTCCCTTAATTGCTGGGCAGCTCAGACCTATCTAGGCCCAGCTCCCAGCTGCCTACTCCCACCCGACCCCACCTATCCTGCTTCTATCCCCAGGGGCATCGGACTCAGGAGGGACCACAAGGGGAGAAACTGCCCACCCCCTACCCAGAGGCTTCTCTTCCCCAATAGTCAAGCTGAGGCTGACAGAAGTTAAAACTGGGGCAGGTGACAGGACTCAGGGAACCCTGGGCAGGTTACAGAGACTTTATGGAGTGCAAGGCAGGCCTAACAGCCATTTCTCATCTCCAAAGAACACAAATTAGAGGAAACAGGCCTCAATTGCAGCTGGAGAGATTTTAATTAGCTGAGAAAGAGCTCCCTCCCAGTAGTGATTAGGGCTGATGGATAGCCTGGCAAGACACTGCCTGGGGGAGAAGTATGCTCCCTCCCTCAGTTCCCTCAAGTGGTCAGGCCATCCATCTTCTTGGAGATTAGGCTTGGGATGGCTGACCCAGCTCTGGGGGTCAGATGTCCTGGGGGTGAGGGATGGGGGGACTGAGATTGATTATGAAGGAACACAATTAACTGCAACTGTTGGAGTGTGAAGAGAACAGAGCTGCATCAGCTCAGCTTCCCAAATCCCGCTGCAGAGCAGACACTCAGCAGATTAATCTGTTAAAGAAGCAGATTCCAGGGCCCTCCCAGCCCTATTAAGAAGCCCCCGGGGTGAGGCCTGCCACCTGTGGTTTAACAAGAATCACACGGGGATTTGGGCTCTTAGCCAGGCTGGGGAATGACCCACCTAAACTTTTTTCCTTCCAACTCTGATTGAGATCTGCCCTGCCCACATTTCAGAGCACAGATAAATCAGAGACAGGTCTCTGTTCCCTGTCCAGGGGCCAATCTTCCTTTCTCTCATAGACCAGAAAAGCAACGCCTTCCAAATACACTCTCCCAACGAACCAGAAGCTGAGCGCCGGGCCTCCTGCCCCTCCCAACACTGCTGAGCCCTCCTCAGGGCCAGGCCTGACTGAAAGGGTGTCTACCTTCCCCAAACCCCATGTGGGTGAGGGCTCCTTTCTACAAAGCCTCAAGGTCTGGCAAAGTCGACAGGAAAGGAGGTGAGTGGCAAGATAGAGGTGCCCCTGGCCTCCCGTTCATCCTTAAGTGCAGAAAGTTCTGTTTCCAGTCCCTGCCATTTGCCACATGCTCTATCAACATGAGCTCTACAAGTGCTCAGGCCTTCTTTGCCCATGTTATCTGTGTGCAGCCAGGGCTCCCACCTGGCTCTTGGCGCGCACTTTTGGCTAGTTCAACAGGACAGGGACCTGGAGAGCACAAAGCCCTCAGGTCCTGGAGCAATGGGCTGCATTTCCCATAGGCCCCCAGCCCTGGAGGAGCTCTCAGTCTCCAGGTTTACTCCCCACAGGGCCCAGGGCTTATTTGGATGAAGCGCCCAGGCCCAGGCCCAGGCCCAGTAAGCATGCTGCCTTATTCCACCCAGCAGGGTTCTATGATGGCAGTCAGGAACAGCTCCCTCCCCAGTCCCCTGTCCACCAGTGAAGAGAGCCTCTTCTCACCCCTGGGAAGACGACGATGTGAGTCAGAGAATCCCTGCCATGCTCTTTTTATGTGTCCCATGCTGTGCTTGGTGCTTCACATATACTAGCACACAGAATCCTCACAAAAACTCTAGGAGGTGGTTATTACCAGGAGTATACCCATTTTACAGATAAGGAAACTGAGACAAGGAGAGGCTAAACAATTTCCCTCAGGTTACACAGCCAGAACTCAAATCCAGGCTGCCAGAGAACCCCCACACGTAGCCATGTTATGCTACTCTCACAGCACACGCCGAAGTCACCGCCTCTGAGAAGACTCCCTGGCCCTCATCCTGAGTGTCTTCAGTGCTCTGTGCCATCTCCATTACAGCACACATCCCTACTGGGCTCTAAATGTGTGGTCTGGAGTTGGCTGCCTATGTCTGACTCCTGGTCCTATTCACTAGGTAATCCTGGAGGAAACTGCTTAACCTCTTAATGCCTCAGCTTTCTTATCTGGGCCAAGGAGATGAGGGTTTATTGAGACTGGCCCAGGACAGAGGAGGACGGGGGCACAGTGCTAATTGCTCTGGACTCTGGCTGAACACTTCCCGCACATGATGCTCGTGGTCAGTCAAGATCTGATGTCTCAGAGAGGTGTCCCCCTGCCCACCAGGTACACACATGGCAAGGGCAGCCCCTCTGCTTATTCCCCCTCATCAGTCCCACCCAGTCCAAATAAGCAGAAAGGGACTCACTTGGAAACAAGAGAGAAAGCTTCAGAGCAGATGGCAGGACAGGGGACGAATTTAATGAGGATGTGGCCCAGGGCTGCAGGGAAGTGGGCGCGCATGACCTTCTCCAGCACGGAGCTGAAGGTGTGGATGTCGGCTGCCTTGCAGGATGGGTCTCCCGAGCCCACGTCCAGGACGTTGCCCCCATGCAGCACCAGCAGGAGGACGTGCGTCTTGCAGGAGCGCTGTGGGCAGACTTCCTGAGAGGAACATCGGTAAAGATAGAGTGACAGGCAGCAGGGAGATGAGGTGGGGAGTGGGGGGTAACCCAATGAATCACTCACACACACACACACACTCATACGGGGCTATGGCCCAAGAAGCAGGCACCGTGTCCAGCCTATCTCAGCTCCACACCAGGGAGCTCTCTAGCCTCCTCTGTGATGGGACCCCTTGTTCATTCAGGGTGAGGGACACAGGCTGTCAGGAGGGCAAGCCCCTCACTGTCAGGGTGGGAAGTGTCCCACGAGGCTCTTCTTGTTCATACAGGAACTGGAAGCCCAGAGAAGGACAGGGAGCTGTCCAGGGTCACACAGCAAGTCATACGAAGAGCTGGGTGGAAACCAGACAACCTATCTACTGTCCCAGGGCTCTTCCCAAATTCCTGGCCACAGAGCTGGGCCCAGACAGCCTCAGTAACTCAGCGCACCTCATTGTCTTCGTGGATCTCAATGCTTCCCTGGGCCGGGAACCTCTGTCTTCTTAAGGAAACCCGGTACAGTTCTCCTGTGGGGAGAACAGAGAACTCAGCTTGTACGAGGCAGGGGCTTATAGGTGAGCAGAATGATAGTGTCCAGAACTAGGGAGTCACTACACCCAGCCCCTGCCTCCGAAATCAACACAACATGAAACTCTTTCTTCTAAGAAAAGGAAGACCAATAGGATGAGGCTATCACAGATGCTGTCCCTAATGCTGGGCAGGGGGATATCCTAGAAAGGGACTATCCTGCTTTTCTTCACCAATCACAAGAGCAACAGCATGAGGCTTGTCTGATGGCTTCTACTTCCAGTAATGGACAGAAATCTGGGCCAAGCATCCCTCTGAAAACAGCTGCAATTGCTAGATAAAAAAAAAAAATTAAAAATATGTTTGAAGTTATCAGAGAGAGAGAGGAAGGCCTTGAATTATGGAACCCCCGTGGAAGTTGGACCCCCAGAGAGTTAAGGCCAGCATATGGAATCACACTCATCATCACCCATCACTCATGAGCTTTGTGCTGAAGCCAAGTGCTGAAATGCTCTCCTTGCTTCTCTCAGCTGCCTGGGCTCAACTTCTCCTCCAGGAAGCGCTTCTCGGCATCCAGCCCTATCTGAGCTCTTATTCCTCTAACACAGGGATCAGTAAAATGGACCAAATCTGGCCCTCCACCTGTTTTGTAAATAAAGTTTTATTGGAACACAGCCACACCATTCATTTACATATTATCTGTAGCTGCTTATCTGCCACAGAGACCTTACAGCCCACAAAATGTAAAATATTTACTATCTGGCCCTTTCCAGAAAAGTTTGTGGACCCCTAATCTAACGCCTACATTCCTGAATGTCACTGCTTTGGACTCTCAGGTTCAGAGAGTCCTCAAAGACATCCTACAACCCCCTCACTCCCCACCCAATGATGCTGCCACCCGGAGGAATCCTTCCTTCCATCAAGCTGACCTCACCTCTTCTTTTCTCCCCATGAGTATACTACTTTCTCCATGTGCTGAATCTCATAGCTAGACTGCGGACCACTCTGCCTTCATCTCCTAATGCAGCCTGTTCCAGGCAAGAATGGCCCTTTCTTCTTCACACCCCACCCCCTTTCTCTGCCACAAGCCTGCTGCACCCTGCTAGGAGGCACATTTGGGGAGGCTCCTTCCCAGGGGTTTTGGCCCCAGAAGGGGCGGGGGAAGGGGTGGCATCTGCAAAGAATTCCAAAAGAGGTTTTCTCTAAAGAAGTCCATTTCTGAAATACTCTGTCCTCACAGACACAACCCTGGTCTAAGGGTAACTGCTTTATGAGCTCAGAGCTACTGCCCACACAGACAGGAAATCATTTCCTAAATGATGGAGGGCTTTGGCTTGGAGGAGGAAGAGGAAAAATGTGTTCTGAGGCCTGGCTCTGACCAGCACTTCCTAACACTCCTTCCAGTGGCTCCGACTCTTCTGCCATATTTCTAACATCCTCTAGACCTTGCCCTGGATTTGGTTAAAAGAGACCTGTGCCCTGCCGTCAGGACAGGGTCAGAATAAAAGACAGTGGTAGATGGCTCTGTTTTCCTGAGCACTTATGTCCCAGGCACTATGGGCTGTACAGGTATCATCTCATCTAATTCCAAGTAACCTCTGAGTTTTGGTCCTCTTGTCATTAGTCTCATTTTACAGATGAAAAAATTGAGGCTCTAACAATGTAGGTCACTTGCCCCATGCAACTATCAAGACGGAGTGAACCCAGCTAAGAGGGCCCCACATTCAACAGAAGATGATGCTTGACATAAAAAAATTGAGGCTCTAACAATGTAGGTCACTTGCAACTATCAAGACGGAGTGAACCCAGCTAAGAGTGCCCCACATTCAACAGAAGATGATGCTTGACACACTGCTCCCCCATCCTTCTGACCTGCACAGCTTCCCAGGGAGTTATACACAACAATATCCATTCTGTAGGAGAAGAATCGGGAGCAGGAATTGGTAAGTGGCACCTCAAAGACTGAAGTCCAGGTCTGCCATGGGAGACCAATTCACCAGCAGGAAAGAGAGTGTCCAGGAGGGAAGCCTAGTGTGGCTTCGTGCGTGCAGCTTCATGTGCTGCTCCGGGGCTTGTGGAATAGGAGAAACCAGGAACTGGCAGGGCCGAGGTTGTGGATGTGGAGACCAGGAGGCCCCTGACTTCTGGGGCTGGGAGGGACCCGGTAGAAACCATGGCCTGAGTTCAAATCTTGGCTCTTACCAGCTGTGTGATCTGCACCTCGGTTTTCTTGTCTAGAATGTGGGGATAATAACAGTAGCTACCTCTTAGAATGGTGATGAGAATAAATGATTCCATATATACAAAGGGATTAGAATGGGACCTGGAACATAGTTGTTATCATCCAGGGTACATCAGGGGGCACAGAGCCAGAGCCACAACTGGCAAGATGGGACCAAAGGCTGATAGGAACATTGCTGCCTCCATACTCTGCTGCCGTGTCTCTGAGTCCTTCTCTGAACCCTGGCAGGCTCCAGGGCCTCGCTGGGCTGGGTGCCTGCTTGCACCAAGGAGCCTGCGTGCAGTGTGATTATAGGATTAAATACTGTGATTGCCACAAATTACCATAGCAAGGCTATAAATAAGTCACAAGGAAGACATGAGGGTCCTGTCATCTCCTGGGCACCATGCCCTCCATTAGGTGGGGGCTGCATCCTCACTGATTATACAGACTGAGGAGCACCCACGTCTTTGATCTATCTGTGGCCAGCAACCTTGGGGCCCACACAATATTCTGGGCATCAGATCAGTGGACAAGTGCTGTATCCTGGCTACAAATGATGCTGAGGCAGTTCCTGGCTCAGCGGGGATGGAGACTGGCAGGCTTGTCCTCAGCATCCCTCATGCCCTCCCTAGCAAAGGGGAAGAATCTGGCCTACTGTGCTGTTTGGGGGTGGAGCTTTGCTTCCTTTCAATGCACAAAATCCAGAGATGCCTTACTCTGGAGAGGGGAAATCTAGCCTGCCAGATCTAGATTCTGGCCCCTAGAGAGTTGACTAACAGGACCAGATTTACCCCCACTGGAAGTTACCCCACTGTCTCCAGTCTCAGCATAAGCCTCTGCAGACAAGTGGAAAGGCAGCTTAGATGCCCTCCTGCCTGTACCTTGCCCGCAAGGGCTCTGCTCTTCCAACAACCAGACATTCCCACCACAATAATTGAGGCTGTGAATCACCCACAAAACAACTCTTTCACTCCTCCATGCCCTTGCTCATGCTGAGCCCTCTGCCTGGTAAGCCCTTCCTCCTTTTGCAGACTGGCAAGTTCCTACTTGTCCTTCAAAACCCTGCTCAATTGTCACCACCTCTGGAAAGCTTTCTCAGCTGAGTTGGACCTGTCTGATTGCTGTGAGATTACTTGTCAATTTCCTCATCAGACCGTGGGCCCCTTGAGACCAGGGTCTATCAACTGTCAGGACCTAGATAACATTTTTATGAAAACTTATTACAAGTGAAGATCCAGGGTGTGCAAAGCCTGTGAGACAGCTATATGCTGCCAAACACCCAGGAGAAATTGGGTTCAAGGGAGCATCATCCGCTGGGAAGCACATTTCTTAAAAGTCCCCAGGGAAATCATATTGGGGGACCTCTGAGAATTCTAGAACAGCCTGGCCTGGGCTTTATGGCTCCACATCGAGGCTTCTGGTGGTAACAGCTGCTGGCAGGGTTCCTGGGGAGCCACATGCCAGGGCCCACTTCCTGTTCATTTCCATCTACATGGCCCTGCTGTGCCCAGATATGGGATGAGGGGAGCCCACAGCTGTTTTTGTGACAACATTTTGTGACAAGCTTTGAGGCAGGCCAGCTACCACAGTGCTGCTCCCAGCACCCCTGCCAGCCCTGGCACTGGGACAGGTGGCCCACCCTGCTCACCATGGCTCCTCCTGCCAGCTGAAAAATGGAGCCTATTTTTGCTTAATCACCACCTTGGGAAGGCACGGATCGTGATCATCCCTTCTAATTACCGATGTGCCACACTGCTCTTGAGACAAAAGCCAAGGTCGTCACCCACACACTCGGCACCCTAAGCAAAAAGTCACCCGGCTCGCCTGAGGAGTCCAACTATCTTCATCTGTTTTGCTACCAGCTGCTGGGACCTATTAGAGGTATATGCTGGGGTGCCCTCTAGCTAAAGATGACCACTCAATTTCACCCTCCATCTTATCAGTCCCTGCAGTACCCCCATCCCCATTAGTCACCTCTGGGGTCAACTAAACAAAGCTAGGCTCAGCTTGAGACCATGGAGCATGTCCTGAGAAGTATCCACAAAGGTATGGAATCCTCCGTGAGTACATGGAAGCATGCACATGGGCATAAGCACACACATTTTGTGGATGAACCCAATGGCTTTGCTATCTTGCTTTGATGTGGGGTGCAGGAGATATACCTGGGAATATCTGGGAAAATCTAGAGCCTCCTTCAGCAGTAAACAGGGGGCTCAGAGCCCCTCGGTAAACCCACACGGAGAAGAACATGAGTGGCAAAACCTGGGAGAAGACAGGCCCTGGAGTCATGCGATGGGAAATGAATGCCCTAGTCAGAGGGTGGCCTCGGTGCCCTCTCTACAGCACCACAGAATGAGAGAGTTGGCCTATAGTCCCTCCTAAGGCTCAGGCAGTTGGAGATTCTCTGAGACCAAGTATGAGGGGCTGGTGCCCCGCATGAGTTCAAGCCTCCGTGCCCAGCAGAGTTTGTCCCAAGGACCATGACAGCTGATTGGAGAGCTGCTGTAAGGGCCCGTGGAGAAAGGGGGAGAGAGAGAGAGAGAGAGAAAAGAAAGAAAGAAAGAAAGAAAGAAAAGAAAGAAAGAAAGAAGACCAGCTCTGGCTGAAACAGGTTGGGGGCCCAGAGCCCCACTTCCTTACTCTACCCCACCCCTGCCCCTAGTCGGTCCCTGGGGCTCCAAAGAACACAACTGAAAAGCCATCAGCATGTTTACCAGCCAGATTTCAGGCCACCCTCTTCCACAGTGCCCCAGGCCCCAGCCTTATAGAAAACAA